CAGGGCCTTTCCTACGCACAGCGCTTTGGCCTCTAAAACTCCACCCCTAAACTCAGTGCGGGCTTTCTTCTGCATATCCGAGAACTCATGAGAGCTGGACAATTCCTTTTGGGGCCTTTGCAGTTTTTAGAAGAGGTGCTTCCGCCTCCCCCTCTCTCCTGCTTCCTCAGCATCCTGGGTAGGGGGAGAGGGGAGTTCTCTTCCACCCGCCCCCCCCCACCAATCCTATGTGTGGGTCCGTATTCAAGATGAAGAGACTCTGCCCAAGAGAGATTCACTCACTCACCCAAGGCCCCACAGCCAGTAGGCGGAGGGCTGAGTGCAGAGCCCTTGCCGTGCCCAGCCCTTCCACAGGAACGCCCACACCCATCTGCGGGTGCGCCTTCCCGGACCTCTCTCCTGCTTTCTGTTCCCACAGCATCATATGGGGGGGCACCGGCAGTGCTGGCTCCAGGTCTGCTCTCACTGCAGTCCTGGTTTCCCCTCGGGACTGCTCCCTCCCAGGAGGCTGGGGATGGAGACGATGATGACATGTTCTGTTGGTGACAGTCCCTAGGGGCCCATATGTGGCCAACTCCAGACAGCCCGGGAGCTGTCTCTGAGGAGGGCCCATGTGCCGTGCCTTCCAGATGACAGCCTCACTGTCCACTGAGTGACAGCTGCCCAGACTGGGCTGGCATCCCAGTCTGCCTCACAGAAACTTTTCTATTAATGCACAAAGAAAAGGTTGTCCAGCTTAAGGGGCTGGTATTTTCGAGAGATGCCAAAAGCATGGATCGGTTAGTGGACAGAAACAAGGGGCCCATGCTGTCCTCGGTGCTGGATGGTCATAAGAGAAGGTATTTACCTATTTTTTAAACCAGGAGTTCATCTTGGTCTGTGAGTGCCGCTGACACGATGTTCCATTAGTTCCAGGTGTGTGCCACAGCGATCCCACAGGTTTATGCGTTGAGCTGTGCTCACCTCGAGTGTGACTCCCATCTGGGAAGGGGTTTGCTGTGTGGTCGCTGTGTCAGGCCAGCTAGCAGTACTGCAGGAGGTCCTAACAATGAGCCCAAAGAGGGGCTTCCATTTCCCGCCCTGAATAGCATCGAACGTTGCCTCCCAGGCCCCTGTCCCCTCCTGCTTGGACTGTAGCAGCAGTCACCTGGCTGGTTTCCCTGACCACAGGCTCACCTTCTCCAGCCCATGCTCCAGATCCTGGCACTCCCTAGGCTCCCCTGGGTCCCAGCTTTACTGGGAGAAAAGCGTGATATTCTTGCCCCCCAGTTCTGCTCTGGGGCATGCCTCTGCCAGGCCTCACAATGACCTGGACATGCAGGGGGTCGCACTCTTGACCAGTCCCACCCCAGCCCTTTGCTTGTGCCTGGGAAAGACTGGCTCCCTCTGCCTATCAAAATCCTGTCTCTCCTGGCTCACATGCTCCCAGGAGCCCCAGAAAGTCCCCCAGTGCTTTCCCCAGACCTTCTCTCAGTTGGACAGGATTCATTTTTCTAAGAAGGTGAGTGTTCCTTGGGTGTCATGAGTGTGGGAATCTGAAGCAGGGGAGATGACCCGGGAGAAGTGAAATCCAAGCTCAGCGGACAAGAAGGGACTGTTAAAAAAAAAAAAAAAAGGAGACAGGCCTGAGATGGGAAGGCAGGGTCACATAGACAGAGGGTCCTGAGCTGGCGGGGGTGGGGGGCAGACTCGGAGTCACTCCACCCTTCTGAGCCTCCATTTCTGCACATAGAAAATGCAGACAGTTGCATCTATCTTGTGAGCTTCATGGGATGGTCAGGAGGGTTAGATTAGATTCTGAATGCCAGAGAAGCTTTGGCGAGCGGGATCAGGTCATGGTCATGGCCGACATTTGCTGAGAGTTCACTGTGTGCTGGGCACTCTGTGTATCGTCACCCGTTCAGCCTTTATAGTGACCACACGCAGTGGGATCTGTTAATTACTCCTGCTTTACTGAGGAAGATACTGAGGCACGGAGAGGCTGAATGATCCGCCCAAGGTCACAGAGTTAGGAAGAAGCACACTCAGGATTTAAATCCGGACAGTCTGGCTCCAGGGATCTTGCTCCCAGCCTTTGTGCCACACTGCCTAGGGACTGCTGGGTTCAATGGTAGCCTGTGGGCTTGAACCTAGAGAGTCTGCGGCTTTCCGGCCACCTTTGGGGTCAGGACTAGGCCAGGTCTCTAGACAAGCAGCCGTCTTGGTATCTGAGGACATGGCCTCCCCACATCTCATGTGTCCAGCAGGTGGCCAGACCACTCCCACAGGTCAGCCTCGGGCCCCGAGCTGGGGAAGCTGCCCTTACCCTGAGTGCTCACTCTCCCAGGGCGGGCTGAGGATGACCACAAAGTCCCCATTCAGCTCACCGGGCGGGGGTCCCCGGGGGCTCTCATCTTCCACTGAGGAGCAGGACAGTGTTGTGAGTGGAAGCCACTAGTGGGTCAGATAAACCGGTTTGAATCCTGGCATGCAGCAGGCGTTCCACACAGCCCCGGCTCACAGTACTAATAGCAGAAGCAGCGAGAGCCATCGTCATTTGTGTCCCTGGAGGACTGAGGCACACCTCTTCATTCATTCAACAAACCATTCTCGGTGACTGCTAGACGCCAGGCCCTGTGCTAGACAGTGGGATGGGGACGTGAAGTTGACAGACGGAACTCCCTGCCCCCATGGAGCGTCCATCATACTGGAGGCAGAATTCACAGGATAAGCACAAAAGAGATGTTGAGTCATGATCAGTTCTGTGGAAGAAAATCAGGAAAGAAGGATGGGGTGGAACGGTTCCATTTTAAATTCAGTGGTCTGGAGATGAAACTGGAGCAAAGCCTAGAAGGAAGTGAGGGAGGGCGCCATGCAGATGTATGTGCAGGAGTGTCGTGTATCCGGTAGAGGCAGGTGACTACAGGCTCTCCCCAGATCCCGACCGTCTGCTGTGGATGGGGTGTCATTACATGGGGGGCGTGGGGGGTGGGGACTGGCGCACAGGATCCGAGGAGAATCAGACCCAGACCTGTGGGGCAGACACTCCCACGTCACAGGAGACTCCCATGTAGGTGCTGTGGGATGCTGCGGGAAACAGGGTGCGTCTAAAGAGGGGGCTTCCCAGAGCAAAAAGTAGCCAGTTTGGGGACCAGGTGGTGGAGGGTGCAGGGTGGGTAACACAGACACAGTTAATTTCAGCTGAATGGATCCAAGACGTGCATTTCTGAGGGGCTGGAGATCAAGAGGGCTTCCCGGAAGAGGCGGCCTTGGAGCTGAGCCTGGCAGACAGGCATGATGTTGCTAGAAGGAGAAGCAGAAACAGCCTTTGCCAGCATAGCCTGGTGCCCTGGGCCCAGGCACAGTGCTGTCAGGAAGTGCCTCTGATGGGGCAGCCCGGAGCCCTGAGAGGAGGGTGGCTGTCCCCCTTCTCCAGGCTACTCGGTCTCTCTGATACCCCCACCCTGGCCCCTAGGAGGAGGAGGAGGAGGAGGAGGCACTGATGGATATGTGGAGCCTGGGCTGCTGCGGCCCAGCTCTGTCACCATGCTCTCCCTCCCTCCGCCGGAACCTGACACCCTGACCACTGAGGCATAAAAAACAGAGAATTGGAAGGCTCAGCCTGTCAGGCTGGGAGTGGCCCCCAGAGAGGCCTGAGGAGGAGCACGTGTGTGTGTGTGTGCGCGTGTGTGTGCATATGCTCCGCCTGTGGTTGCCTATAGAAATGGGGAGGGGGCCAGGTGGGCCCAGGGGGTGGGAGCAGCTGGCCCCTCGGGCTTCCCTTATTGTTTCTGCCCTACCTGGTGGAGCCCCAGGGACCCTACATCTGGGCCTGGATGCTGAGGAAAGAGCAGCGCTCCAGGTCCTGCCTTCTGGGTGGTCCTTCTGGAGGCTCCTGCCCTTTGGCATCCTTGAGAGGAATCCACAGAAGCATGTCTGGGCTGAGGGTGGTCTCCTGAGGCTGTGTAACTCCTGTCACCACTGCCAGGGAGGGGCCACATGCTCTGTAACCGGTGGCTTACAAAGCCTCTCGCCAGCCAGCTGCCAACACAACCGGGCCAGTCATTGTGGTGTCCGCTCTAAGTGAGGTCCAAACCAGGTGCTCTGGGAATCCCAGGCACGGGGAGGAGACAGGCAGAGCCAAAGCAGCAAGGTTTGCGGGCAGGAATTTTGGACTCCTTTCCTAGGGCTGGCTGGTGATAAACAGGCTCTCTGGGGGCTGGAGAAAGAGCACAGGGAAGTGCCGGACACAAGAAGCAGGGCCCCATGAGCAGCAGTGGGGCCAGAGGGAGCCGTCCTCAAGCCCTGCTGCGCTGCCTTTCCCCAACGCCATCCCTACCCTGACACAGTTCATAGTTTCTGCCTGTGCATCCCAGCAGCAAACCTTGGCCCCTTTCCCAATGCCTAGAAGGCCCGACACACTCCCTCTGCTGTGCTCCCCAGCCTTCTCAGCAAAGTGCCGTCTGCCTTCTCCTGGCATGGACCTGAGCATCTGTCTCATCCTCCCCGGTAGACCAGGGCCCTGAGAGCAGCCCCCTCTGGATTCACAACACAGAGGGCCAGACTAGAACCGAGGTCACCTTTGCTTCTCAGTCCAGAGCCACTCAGGAAGCACCCAGGCAGTGAAACGGAAACCACACTGGGGCACTGGAGTGCCTCAGTCAGGGCTGAGAGCCAGGTGGTCTGCAGCTTCGAACTTGGGTCAAGACCATTTTGTGAGCAATCCTGGGCATCGGTTTTCTCACCTGTAAAATGGCCCGATATCCCCAGGGAACACCTGGCACACAGTAGTGTCACGGTATGCATGTTAGAGGATGATACTCACTCCCTCTGCTAAGGAAAATGTTACAGGGGGAAACAAGGCCTGTGTTAGCCGTCCGCTTGATAGGAACATGGGCCAGAATGGCCTTTATTGGTTACGAAGAGTACCTGCCGTTTCTGTAAGAGGCAAATGCCATTGGCATTTTCCAAACCTGACCTGACATTTGGTTCCTGTTTCTCTCTCCGCCCACCACATGCAGGGAGTGAGTTTTCCGGGAGCCCCTACAGCCACCCTCAGTATCCCTCGTACAACGACTCCTGGAGGTTCCCCAACCCGGGGCTGCTCGGTGAGTACTGGTAGAAGCCTGTGGGGCCCCAGGGCCATCAGCTGCCACATTACGACTCTCTTTGGGCCAGGGTCCCTTGACAGCCTGCGGTCTGGTCCCTTAGTCGGGGTGGGTAGCTTGCGTCAGATATGTGCTAGCCAGGAGTTGTGATGGGAGCTTCAGACAGTAAACACCACTCCAGCTCTAATCGAGCCCCCCTCCCTCCCCAAGATGTTTTGGCAGATAAGGGAAAATGGCAGAGAAGGGAAACAGAGAAAAAGAGGTGTTGAAGGAAGGGGGGAAGTGTAGAAAAAGTACCTGCCCGGGAGTAACATACTTCTTAAGAATCATTGAATCTTCTGGTGAGAAATCTCTGAGGCAGCAAGGAGGCCAACTTGGATTGATTAGTAGTGGCTACCTGTCTTGATAAGGACTCTGAGGCTTAGTGATTGATTAGTGATGTCTGCATGGACTTCAGCAGAGCCAACTCCATTGGGAAATTGAGTGCCCTGTGCCCAAAGGCCTTCCTCGTCCTGCCATTCTGAGCTCAGCTGGTGCCCCACCTCTACCCAGGCCTCAGGCTGGCAGATTATCCATTGCTGGGGCCAGCCTGATCTGTGTATATCATCGGAGATATGTGTGCCCCTGCAAAGACCAAGCAGGGCTAACTCAGCCCTCAAAAGGCCAAAAAGAGCTGACATGAAACCAGCTGGTGAGTGATAATGGGAGCTGGAGGTTCTGGAGCATTAAGCAGGGGGCCAGGGCTCACAGATGTCACTCACCACCTGGGGACAGAGCTAGCCAATGAGCCTCAAGCAGCAGCATGGATCCTGCCCCAGCAGTTAGCCGAGGAATTCCCACACAGTCAGGATGCGCCTTAGAGATCACCCAGGCTTGTCTGTCCAGCTTTGAAAGGCCAGGTTAAGTAGAACCTATTAATTCCTGGATCCTGGATTATTTCAGGACTGGGAAACAGACTTTGAAAAAGCAAGAACCTGGTCCCTTTGGACTCAAGTTGCCAGGTCATGGGTCTGTGATTAGAGGACTAGGGCATACACGTGACAGACACCATCCCTTCCTGTCCACCCCCCCATCGGTGTACTTGGGCCTCCAGCTGCCCAGAGCCTTCTGGTGGGTCATGCAAACCTTGCGGGTACAATAAAGAATGATTACTACCAGTTACTACTCCTGGTCCCTAAGCCTAGAGATTTCATTTTATAGATGAATGGGATCTTACTACTTTGGCCTCCTGTATGGGCTGATCTGTAGACTTTTTTGGTTTTGGTAAAAATCAATTCTAAGTATTGAACCATGTCTCCATTTACCTAATGCTTTTCCTGAAACAACTGCTTGGAGAGGCCCTGGTTTCTGAGTTGACCTAGCTGTCAGTCTTAGGGGGCAAAGGCTAACCACAGTCTCCACGAACCAGAGTCTTTCAGAGGGGCAGGGGCAGAGGCTGGGTCTGGAGCCCAAGCGGACGGCAAGGGGAGGCTGGTGCTGGGTGGCATCTGAGGCCTTCGCTGCTCGCGCTGGAGGGCAGGCAGTTCACATGCCTAGGTGTTAGGCATGCGCTGTGCGTGCCTGGTAGGGAAAGATGAGGACTCTGTCTCAGGGAGCCTCTAGGCTGGGGCTGAGGGAGCCTCAGGCAAGTATGTCTGTGTAGGGAGGTGGTCAGTGCCTTAAGAGGGCCAGAGCCACTATGGAGAGGAGGAAGAACTAAAACTCCATCCATCTAAATGAGTACCAGCTCACTGTGTGGGCACTGGGGAAGACTCTTCAGGTGGGTTACCTTATTTTATCATTTCAACAGCCCAAGGGAGTGCATACTATTATCTCTATTATACAGATCAAGACAGTGGGCTCATAAAGGATATATAATTTAGCCGTGGTCACACAGCCTGCAGGTGGCAGAATGAGGACTCAAACTCTGGTTACCCTGACCCCGGAGCTTATATTCATAACCAGGGTATGATGTGGTACTCTTATTCTCCCTGACCAATGAAGTCTGAACAGCACGACATCCAGGAAAAGAGGCCTTGTCCCTTCATAGGAAGCCTAGAGGGGCCTGAATACTCAGACCGTGTATGTGATGAGAACAGCTCTGACCAATTTTTGAAAGCTAGGTTACTGTATTTATCTATCAGGCTTTCAGTTGCAAATCACAGAATCCACTCTGGTTGGTTGAAGCAGAAAACCAATTTATTAAGGGGTACTGGGGCTTCTAGAATCTCCAGGAGGACCAGACACAGGTGTAGAGGGACATGGTGGGGAACATCACCCAGCCACACTACCAGGGTTGGGGAGCTCTCCTGCTGTGGCCAGTTGGCTCTCCGCCCTCTGCTGCTGCTCTGGCCGGGGTATAGGAGAGCTCGGCCCTGCCGCCACTCCCACTTGGAGCTGGGTGCCTCCGCCATCTGCTCCTAGCAGATGAAGTCTTTTGGCCCATTCACTTCCTCCCAGTGCGCCCTCACATGCAAGAGGCTCAAATAGGCAGAGCCCAGGGGACACACTTGTGCCCGAGCAGCAAGCGGAATGGGAAAATGAGTTCATTCAAAGAGGCGGGCCTCATACCACAGGACACCCTGCAAACACAGGGAAAGTCAACACAACACTGGGCAGACGGACATGAGAAACGGCCCCTGTACTTCCCAAGTCTGTAACGTGGGAAATCGTAGTCAGGCCATCCTCCAGTCTGGGCCTCAGTTGTCTCAGCTGTAAACTGAGGAAATTGCCACTGGCGGCTTTGTTCAGGCAGGAGCTGAGTCTGGCGCTCTCCTGAGGCCCACAGCCCTGAATAAGCAGTGATCCAACCTTCCTGAAGCACGGGGCTCACTGTACCATAGTCTTGCAAATTAGCTGCATGCCCATCACGTCTGCCAGATTGTCCTCTACCCAGCTTGTCCTCAGGCCTTTAACTGAAAGCATCCCCCTGGACCAGAGAGGTAGACCGACTATTTCTGGGGAAGGTACCAGGGTGGGGTGTGGGAAGCTGCTCCGAGGCTCCTTGGTGCCCCTGCTCGATCAGTGGGAGCTGCAGAAACAGGTGAGACCCCCCCAACACGCACACACCTGTGTGCTCACAGCCTCACATGCACCACCTGCACCCCGGCCGGCCTGGGTGTAGTCCCCTTCCCAGAAACCCCCCAAAGCCAGGATGGGCAATGCCGCCCCAGTGAGGCTGGGCACTGAATTCTCAGGAGAACTCCCCTCCCCTCAAGCCCCCTCTGCAGGAGGCGCCGGCACGGTGCCCACACAAGGCCCAGCCAGGGCACAATGACCACAATGGGGGGCGGGGCACAGAGGCAGGTGGGGTGGGGAAGAAAGCGGGGGTCAGTTAGGGTTAGAATGGGTGTGCGTGGGGCCTGCTCTAAGGAGTTGAGGGAGTGAGCAGGAACCTGGAATGACCGTGTCAAGAGCAAACTGATAAAACTGTGAATTAGGAAAAATGGCGGAAGAAAAGGACAAGTTTATTCTAGATGGAGGTCTAATCGGCACCAGAAAGACACAGTGCTTCGTAAGGTGGTGGTTTCATTTCTCATGGTAAATGCAGGCATTTTTGATTTTTGGGGACGAGCTGGCCAAGAGATTAGGCTTTGGGAGGGGAATGAGTCAGAGCCAGGGGTGAGTGGTGGCCTGTGGGAAAAGGGAGGGCTGAGCGGGTTCCTCCCAGGAGACTTACATTTTCTGCCCCTGGAGAGCCCTTGGTGAGGGCAGTCCCTGCTGTTTTTCCACTCCTCTGCCCTGCCCAGGCCTGTAGGACCGCCCCCCACCCCCGGGGCACAGGCACGCACATTCCTCTCTAAGGCAGGATGCAGGGCTGGCACCACAGATTCTCCATGGGGGACTGTCCTAATGCTGTCCCCAACCCCGAAGAGAGGACAGAGAAGGCTGGCTGACAGGTATCTCTGAGCCAGGGCTACAACTAGGAAGGTAACAGAGGAGGCAGCAGGAAAAGTCATCTCTGGGAACACTTAGGCATGGGATGGGTGTCTCTGCCTTCTAGATCAGCACGGAGAGGTATTTCTCTCTCCTCCTCCACTGTCACTGCTGCCTGAGCCATACTCCCTCCCCAGGGGGGCAAAGGGAGAAAGCAGTCATTGGGACTGGGTTTGGAGGGCCAGTGGCAGGCGCTACAGTGCCTCCTCACTCCTGCCCTCTAGATCATGTACGAGCTGTGTAATCTTAGGGAACCTACTCAGTATCTGTGCCTCGGCTTCTTCATCTGCTACATGGGGACAACACTAATCTCTACCTGATGGAATTGTTTTGGGAATGGAAAGAGTGAATAGCTCTAAGTGGCTTAGAAGAGTGTCCATTTCCAAAACACTTTCATATCCTTGTCTTGTGGTGCCCTCATATGACCCCATTATGACCTCCTTTTACAGAGAAGAAAACAAGACCCACTTGTTCAGGGTCATTCAGCCAGGAGTCCATGATTTGGTGCTCAGTGATGGTATCTGGGAGACTCACCAAAATTGGTTTGGATTTGGCTGGGATTTCAGAATAAACACGAGTCCACTCCCCCAGGGAATTAAGCAGATCACTATTCCCATGCATGGTCTGGGGGCCACCAGGGCCCTCACCACTGTCCACCTGGATAAACCCTGCCCCCCAGCACTGGGTAGACAGACCATGGACTGAACCACGGTGGGAAGAGTCCTGGATGTGGGCTAGGCTGTGGCACTGAGAGGCCCTGTGGCTTTGGGCATATGGTTTTGTATGTTGAGCCTCATGTCCTCACCTGTAAAATGAGGCAATGGCCTGGCATCTCTAAGCTTTGTAGTTCTGAGAATCTGCTGGTCTCCCCAAGCCCCCCAGACTCTTTCATCCCTGGGGAGGAGTTTGGGTACAGCGTAGGCCTCCTGGAGGCCTTGTCTAAGCAGGTAGTCCCAGAATGAAGCCTGGAGACAGTGGGAGGAACCCAGCCTGGCCTTCACCCTGGCTGTGTCTAGAGGTCACAGGTAGTAGGGCCTCCACAGGGAGAGGGGCCACCATGGACTCCCATACCTCAGGCTCCCCATGTCTGTCTCTTCCTGTCCTCCAAACCCAGCCCAACCCACATCCTCCAGGAAACCTGACTCTGCCAGAATCATCTTGTATTCCCCAGAGCTCTAATTCCCCTGCTGACTCTGAACATTGGTCTGTGATGTTTGTGATTACTGCCCCTTATTGTCCCCAACAGAGCCAGAAAAGAAATGAGTAAATGGGCAGGGGTCTCTGCTATTGTCTGTTTACTGGGTGCTGCCGTGCATTTACTCATCCGACCTGGCTGTGAGCACAGGCCACATGCCTGGCTACCAACCCGGGACTGAAGACAGACACGGGGAAGAGCAGAGCCCAGCGCCTGACCATGTGGGGCTCTCCATCCAGGAGTAGGGGAAGCAGCAGTAAAAGAGATGGTTGGGGCCCAGGTCCAGGCTGCAGAGGAGGCTGAGCTCAGGAGGGCTTCAGGAAGGAGCACAGGAAGAGGCGAAGAGGCAGAGAGGCAAGGAGAGGAGGCTAATGGGCTAACTCGCCTGTCCTGGAGGCGGAGATGAGACAACACATGTGGAAAAAGCGGTGCGAGGCCGAAGAAATGCTTCTCCACGGGTAGTTGCTGTTAGCATGAGGGTGTCCTTGAGACCTGTGCGCAGTCTGAGCTCCCTGGGGTGTGGCCTGTGCATGGTGTGGGCTGGGAAGCAGTGGTTGTTGGGGAGAAAGCCAGAGAGGTGGGCGGAGTCAGGTCACAAGGGATCTACAGGGCGAACTCAGAAGCGATGGCTTTTCACCCTCTAGGCCAGAAGTGGGCAAACTCATCCTGTCAAGGGCTGGACAGTAAACATTTGGGGCTTGGCAGAACATGTGACTTCAGCTGCAGCAGGCAGCTCGGCTGTGGTAGCAGGACAGCATCCATGGACAGCACAGAATCAAATGGGCAAGGCTGAGTTCCAGTAAACCGTTATTTACTGAAACGGGCAGCAGGGAGGATTGGACCTGAGGGCTCCAGTCTGCCTCCCCCAGCTCTAGATGGGGAGGAGGCCTTGAAATCTCCTAAGAGGAAGCAACCCTAATTAAGCTTGCAATCTGGAGAACAGACTGGGACAGAGATCTTGGTGGCCTGGGAGGAAGGGGAGGGGCCCCTGGTAGAAAGGGGACCCCAGGTATGGGGTTGCAGGCACAAGGTCACCCTTGAACCTCCGTGCCCTCTTCTGTCTCCCCCAGGCTCCCCGTACTATTACAGCGCCGCGGCCCGAGGAGCTGCCCCACCTGCGGCCGCCACTGCCTACGACCGTCACTGACCCTCGGAGCCAGGCGGGCGCCAAGCACTTATAACACATATCACTGAGGGCGATAGCCTCTCAGCCCCTCCGAAGACAGCCAGAGAGGCCCAGTGAGACCATCCCCCAGCAATCCCCTCTCGCCTGAAACTCCCTCCCAACCTTTTCCTGCCAGGGAGCTGGGGTTCTATGGTAAGGCCATTGGACTTCTAGACACACATCCATTTCTAAGAGTCAATCAGTGAGCTTCTCCCAACAGCAACCAGGTCTCTGCAAAGCCACAGACTATTCTGCAGACAACTGTAGCCCTAGCCTTGCCTGCCAGTCCCCAGCTGACTGACCATCCACCTGTCTTCCTGCCCCAGGCCTGGGAAGGAGAGCTTGCTTTTGTCACTTCAACAGCACCCGTGTAAATACCTTCTTGCTTTTCTGTGGGCCTGAGGGTCCAACTGAGCAGACTGCCCACCCATTATGCATCCAGTACTCCTGATGTGTCACAGGACATCTTAGACCTGTGTGCAGAGCATCCCCTCTGTCCTGGCTGCCCCCTACAGGTGGGCTCGGAGTTGTCCTTGAGACTAAGGATGCCCACCTCCGGGCACAGCCTCCTGCTCATTGCTACTTCTTTAACGTCTGGACTAAGAGGCTCATCAGGCTGGTTATGCTTCAAGCTTCCCCCCTGAGATCCCTCCTCGGGAGAAACACACTGGAGAGATGCCCTGCCTTCCTGACTCCATTTTTTTGGCCCCAGTGCAGTGTGAGCAGCTCTTTTCCATATCAAAGGACTCAGAACAATGAACTGTTTGGGAGATTCCTCAGCTACAAAGTCTAAAGATACTGTCCAAGGTGCTGACTGCATTGTGGACTTGGAATCCTGGGGCTGGACAGGACCCAGAAGACCATAGTCCAAGGCTGGGACTCCCAAGCCCCTGGAACCACTGAACTGAACTGGGATGTATTTTCTGAGGCATGCCCAGGCTCAAATCACATTGGACACCCACCATGGACATTTCTCCCACCCTCCAGGATGCCAGAAAGTGGATTCTGGGCAAGCCTGTCCCTGGCACATAGACAATAATTAACAGAAAAGACATTATTGCACTGAGGACCACTCACACCTACAGCAGTCAGCCAGAGCTTCCCAATTAGCCCCTCCCTGTCCCCGTGGAGCCTAGTATACAGCTAGGAATAGAGGTGCTGGGGTAGGAGCAGATGCCTAACTTTGTATAGTGGGTATATACCTATTGATGCAAGGGGTAGTGACGGTCAGGGCCATGGCCAAGGACCGTGGGAGCTTGGAGACCTCAGTGGATGCTGGAGTGGTCAGAAAAAACACTTGGGAAGATGTGGGGGACAGAGGAAGGCCTTTCAGTAGGGGAGCAAGATCAGCAGTAAGGAACTGCTGTGTGAACTGGGAGTGGTTTTGAAATAGGCGTGCCAGGGGCCACCATCCCTTTGCCTGGAGCCTCAATTCTTTCAGTAGTCTTTCTTGCCAAGTCAGAACAACAAGATGAAGGCCCTGTCCCAATCTAGGCTTAATTACATAGATGAAAATGGACTTTGCCGTCTTGTGTGACAGGGTCTCTGATGTTTGCATGTCACCAAGTTGGCAAAGAGCTGGGGCAGTGCACAGCCTGGGGTTACTGGGCCTGGGAGGTCTTGTCCTGGCCACACCACTTCTTTGCTGTGTGACCTCGGACAAGACCTTCCCCTTTGAGCCTCGGCTGCCTTGGTATAGCTGGGTCACCTACAAGGCCATCCTCCAGTTATCTCCTTGCCTTCCTCTTTCCCAGGGTGCTGGGGCTGTAACTGGGCCATCCGGGGGCAGGTCTTCTACTTCTGAGCAAGCATAGGGGGTGGGCATCTATGTCCTACTAATATTTAGACCAAATGGGAAATAAGAACACGCAGAGGGATGGGAATCTGCCTTGAAAAGATCTAGTCCAGCTCCCCCCAGGGGAAATTGAGGCCCAGTTTGGGGAAGCCTAGGACAATGCACGGAAATAGAACAGATCTCTGGCCACCACGCGTTTTCTCCCCAACATCCTACAAGGTGGTGGGAGAGAAGAGGAAACCGGGGCTCAACAAGGTGGAGTCCCCAGGCAGTGACTGGCAGAGGTGGGGCTAAGATTCAGCCTCCTGACCCCTGGCACAAGGTGATCCCTCCATCCCTGGGGAGGGAAGTTGACAGCAAGGGCAGTGGGAAATCGTTCTGGGCCCACTGCCACAGATGGAAAGTCCTGAGCTATTAGTGACAAGGAGGCCAAGCCACCCAGGGCAGAGGTGGAGCCAGGGCGCTCCCTGCAGGCACACCCACCACCTTGGAACCTGCTGGGCGAAGAAGGGAGGTAGCTTCGGGCAGAGCCCACCTCCAGGAACAGGATGAACTAGCTCCAGCCTCCACCTGCCAGGCAAGGTAGGAGAAGGTACGGTAGCTGGCCTCTCCTTTCCTCCCTCCTTCCCTCCTGCAGGAATGGGTGGGCCCAGGGGTCTGCAGATCAGGCCTTTGGCCTTTTGTACCCATACCTTTGGTCCACGTCCCCCCTTGTGGTCTCAGGCTATTGGGAAGTTGGCCTTCCCTGAACCAACTGCTTAAAGCAAACACTGTCCTTCCTCATCAGAGCCCAGCTGGTACCCTTCTGTTCCTTCTCGTGCCCTATGATGAGCTCGGTCCATGCCTTTCCTACGCCCCCTGAGGCTCTGCTGGTCTTCAGATCGCATTTGTACTTATAAGACAACCCTTGATTCCTGGGCTGCCGGGCAGAAGCACAAGAGCACAAGGATGTACGCGCACGTTCTCACACAAGTACCTGCTCTCCCCAGCCCAGAGTCCACGCGCTGCGTGGTGGAACTGCCTGGGAGCTTAGAGAGAAAGGTTCCAAAGGACACAAGCCGTTGAGTAAATGCCAGAGAATTCTGAATGGAAAACAAGGCCAGGGCTTTCACCAGCACTCTGGCTGGAGGCCTGGGGTACTCCTCCACAGGTCTTCAGCCCTATGTTCCGGCTCTGACTTTCAGAAAGGACCCTGTGGATTTTAAGAAGTTTCATACCATTAGTCTAGCTCCAGCCTTGAAAAATCTGAGGACATATCAAATCCAGCCTCCCTTTACCAAGGCGCCTTAGTTAGGGTTAGCCCTTTCATAACTCATATTTATATGGTGCTTTGCAATCCTTGACCATTCCCTGGGGCAAAGATCACAATACGCACTCTAGAGATGGGAAAACCAAGATTTGGGGCTTGCATGGCAAGACAGAGGTGAGGTGAATTCTCAGATCTCTGGGCCTCATTCTCTTTCCACAGAAATTGTGCTCTTGTCATGGGAGCATATGGCTTAGACATACCCTTCAATCCCTGGAAACCCCCTGTACCCACAATGAGGAAAGAAAGAACAGAGACCTAGAGGCTGGCCTGACCAAATGGCCTGAGGCTTGGTGGCTTTGCTGGTCTACTGTGGTTTCCATGAACACCAAACCTACAAAGTCTTTGCCCAGATTCCTTCACTTCAGTGCTGCTGAGGTTTCGTTCACGTTTCCTCCCTGCTGGATCCTGAGACTCTGAAGGGATCAGAGCACATCCAAGACCACACCATTGGCCTTGGCGAGGCCTGGACGTGGGCCTGCCTCTGATTCCCAGGGTCTAAGGTTCCAGGGGTTACAAGATGTCCCCTCACTGTGGCTCTGACTTCAGACCTGTCTGTGACAACATGTAAGCATTCCCCAGCCAGGCCCTGGTGGCGGCCACAGGCCTGGGAAACACAGACTGCAGTCTCCAGGCCCCTGAACTACTGTTCCCCAGTCAGGCAGGTAGAGTCCTCTTGCCACTCAGGTGGGGCGTGAGGAGGCATGGGGGGTAGGACCTGGCCCCATCCAGGGGCATTCAAAGGTGGAAACTTTTTAAATGCTTTTTCAGCCAAAAGAATAGGTTTGTGGGCCATGTTTGATCCACTGGCTCCTAGCTCGTGACCCAATAATTTTTGTCTAGTGCTACCTTTCTTCTTCACCTCCTGCCTTTCACTGAAGACGGGAGCCCAGCGAGATGGGAGACGTGCTTCAGCTTGTCAGGCCAGTCACTGTTCGGGACGGGCCTCCCCAGTCCCTACCCCTCCCTCCTCACCCTGGGCTCTTGCAGACTGTTTGGGCTTTGAAGGTGGGTTGGATAGAACAGCTGGGGTGGTGGGAGTGGACGGACTGTTGGCTTTGAGAGGGGTCTTTCCTGTGGGGGGGGTGGGGGGAAAGTGCCCCAGATATGTCCACAGGGCACTGAGGGGTAAAATCCCTTTATGAGAAGTCATAGCCCAGAGCAACTGCCCCACCTTTGGGAGCCTCTGTACCAGCTTCTCTCCTGGATGACATTTCAGCTAGATTTTAGCTCCAAGCCATGGGGAGCAAATCTTAAAAACAAACCAAGCACTCCTGACAAACACCTAGAAACAAGATATGTCTGAGACACAGCTGCCCCGAGGGTAGGGAGAAAGCCAGGCCCCTGGATCAGCCAGGCCCGAGCTGGAGCGGATGGACACCCACAGAGCTCTGGGCTAGACCAGCTCCTGGGAGGCCCCGCTAAGAAGCTGGCTTTGCGGCCGTGGCCCTGTCACCCATCTAGGAGCCTGCCTTTGATGGTTTCCAGGCACGCACATCGGTGCTCCTGGAGAATTTATTCCTTTAGTTCTTTTGGCCTCGGAGAGGTCCAAGGCAAGTACATTTCTTAAAAGGTAACAAAACATAATCGGAAAGTTGGACAGTCAGGCCATGACTTCTAGCCTGCGGTCCGCCCCACCTCCCAGCAGCCCCTTCAGCCCCTTGTCCCCTGCCGACCCCTTACCTCAGGATTCCCTCTTGCATATTCATGGTGGAGCCACAGTGTTGATCTGCACTTCCCCACTGTCAGCTTGCCGCCGCATCTCCGGAGTGGCGGCCAGGTCCCGAGGGGCTGCCAGGGAGGACTGGAAGCGAGTCCCCGGCCTGCCCGCTCTCCTGAGGAGGGTCTACAGCTTCTGGGATGTGGGCTGCTTGCCAGGAGCAGCCAGGCGCCAGACTTTCTTTCCTTTGCTGTGATTTCTCGACATGGGGTCCCGTTCCTGGACCACCCCCTACCCCAGGATCCAAGGAGACCTCAGGGTCATGTCCCTGCCAATCTAGAGTTTCAGTCCATATGTTCCCAGGGGTCCCATTTATCCCAAGTCTGAGCTGGGGGTAAATAACCACCACGCAGTAAGTCTAGATATGCTCCTTCCCACATCTTAGACCTCTGAGCAGCACAAGGAGAAAACACAACTCTTTATTTACTGAGGAAATCGTAACAAATTCTAAAACGGAGTCCGTCTCAGGTAGTATATTTGGCGTGTGGGCAGGACAAGGCAGGCAGGAATTCCACCTTTCAGCTCTAGACAGTTCTGAGCATGGCTGGGGAAGGAAGCGTGTGCAACAGCAGGGGGCGGGTTAGATGGGGAGTCAGGCACCCCCTCGCCCGGCTCTTAAGGCCTGGCTGTAAGAGGTCAAGCTGAGCCTCACCCACCCCAACCACAGGCCCACCCATTCCTGCAACAATGGCCATGGGGCCACCCTCATCCCCAAAATCACCACGCATAAGGCTACGTCCCTCATCTTCTCTAAAAGCACCATTAAGAACAAGTGATTTTGGATGATGGATTTTTGATTTACAAATGGTGCATTTCCCTTGGAGTGGAACAGAAAGGAAACCACTTAATGGCTCCCTTATTTTCAAGCATGAATACATTTTAATGAAACTATTTTATTGTATTTGAGGAAATGGAGAGTTGAACATTCCAACCAATCAATAGCCAATTAATTGCTATAAAGCTAAAAATAAATAAGTCCTGAGTCTTTCTGAAATGCCCTGCAAAACTCAGAGCCTCCGAATCGGGCCCTCCCCTCCATATGTGCACATGTGAGTGTGCACACGCGCACACACACGCACACCCCTGCATCTCAGACACTTGAAACTCAGACCTAGTGCTGAGTCTCCTCATGCCAGTTCTTGCCTGCTCACCTCGCTTTCGGTCAGAGACGGTGAGCAGATCTGGCAGCAGCCCTTCCTGGGGCTCAGGAAGAGGCATGCCCATCCCTTGGCCGCACGCTACCAGATCAATGGGGGGGGGGTAGAGTGGGCAGTGGGGGCCCCCTGGTTGCCCCCCCCTTCCCCCACTGGGCCTCCAAGTCTGGGTCAAGGGTGGAAATCTGATTTGGGTTTTGCCCTGACTCTTGCTGACAGATGCTGCCCTGGTTGTTCACCCTCTAGTGGCCTTTGGACATTGAGTATTTATAGAAATAAATGCAGATTACATTGCAAGTGGAACTCTTTGCCAGGAAGACACATGGATTTAGCTTCTCATTCTTTGAGACAGTTGACTTCGTCTTAGGGACTGACCTTCCAGCATCAAAGAAATACATATCTATTGTATCCGCCAAAGTTTGTGATGCCTGCATAGACGCTACTTGTTAAAAAAAAAAAAAGTACAAAAAAAAAAGTACAACCCCCCCCACAATTGAATTGCCTTTGAAAGTGGGAGATGCTCTGTCTCCAACAGATTGAAAAAAAAAATGCTTCTTAAAAATGTGTATGTTTTGTATTCTTTTTTTCTAGTAGAAAATAACTGACTTGAAATATTGGTGGTTTTTTTTCTTAGTGACGTGTGTTGCTTTTGTGTGTAATAATATTTGAATGTAATTACAGCAGTGCCAATTTGCCAAAGATGTCGGACATATTTTTCTTTTGTTGGGAGGAGGGCTGGGGGTGGGACTTGGGAGAAAACAGGGGTGGGGTTTTGGTTTTTTACTTTTTTTTTCCTGGTCAAACCTGAAATTTGTGGTTTTATTCTAAGTTAAATGGTTGATCGCAACACTTTTATTTTAGATTAGTTGGAGAAACTTGCAATAAGATTGGCGTAGTTTTAATATCTGTGTGTCTTTTCATGAGTGACTGTTACTTGTGAAGAATTGATTTTATGTAACCTTTATGTGAGATAATTATTTGTAAATATTTGCCATAATTTTATTGGTTCCTAAAATAAAAGTAATTTTTTAAGTTCAGAAAAAGAATTTGATTTCGTTTGTCTTTACAACTTCATAGATGGTTTTTGACAACTTTGACAGAGCCACGTGGGGCCATGGGGAATTTTTCTGGCTCTCCTGATGGAATTAAGGTCAGACAAATCCATGTAACTATAGCAGGATGGAGTGGTGTTGGACCCTGGCCTGGGCAGGGCAGGAAGGGCCCTGGGCGGGCAAGCTGGCAGCCTGTGGGGCTGGCTGGAGCCCCGCCCTGGAGGGGACACCTAGCTCTGACACTCAGTAGCTGGAGAACCTTGGCGAGTTCTGTTACTCAACTTCATTTGCTCCTAAACAGTAACACCCACCTTGTTTATTCATTCAACAAATAATGTTTAAGCAGGTCCTCTGTCCCCAGCACTGGGGACACAGCAGTGAACAGGGCTACCAAGGACCCTAGTGACACGAAACTCACAATCTAGTGGGTTCTTGTGAGCGTAACGTTAACACACACTGAATGTGTGTTCAGTGATGGTGTGCGCATGCACACGTGCTCTTAACCTGGATCTTAAAACTGCCCGAAATAAAAAATGTCTGGGTGTTACCCACACACCTCTAACATGCAGACATTGCTCAGGAGCCCACCAGACCAGGAGACCTTGTCTTGGGCTCCAAAGCCACAGGCCCGACCCAGCGAAGGCTCAGAGCCCGAGAATCCACAGTCCTTCTGTGGAAAGTGCCCTGTCCCTACACCTGCAAAGCAGAGCCATTCTGACTGCACGGGAGCCCAGGAGTGGCTTTCCATCAGGGGCAGTTGCAGAGCTGAGCCCTGCCCCTGCTGGGCGGTGTCAGTCTGCAAGGGCAGGCAGGGACTGCTGCGCCCCTTGGCACAGTGTGTGCGACGCAGTAATTGCCAGAGATGGAGTGGGTGAGTGACCACATGGGGGCCATGGGCTGCGACTCATTCATATTTAATAAAGCCGGCCATGCAGCCTCCATTCATTTTGGCAATGGATGGTGACGAAGGTGATTCCTGAGGGAGAGAGACGTGCTGGTGCAGCGGAGCGCTGGCCCAGCGCCTTTCTTCCCCAGGCTCATGGCTTGGAGGCATGAACTTCAGGGAGAAGTGGCAGCATTTTGGAACTGAAAATGGGACCGTCTGGTGAGGCAGAGCAGACATCGCCGTCCCTGATGCCACAACCCTCATTTCCAGCTCCCCGGGACAGAGGCCCCAAGCCTGCCCTCCTTGGGTGTGGGCCACCCAGTATCTGCCATAGCCCAGGTGTGAATGGAGGCAGAATGGAGGTCGTCGCAAGGCCTCCAGCAAGAAGGGTGGAAATGCCAGCCTGGAATCTGCTCTAGCAGCCTCCGGCACCACCTCCAACCTCAGTGACTGTCACAAAGAGGATGAGAGGGACATACCTGAGGTCTGCTGTAGGAGACTTTCACCTTAGGCCCATCCTTCACTCAAACACCAGCTGGAACCAGGCCCAGTGCTAGGTGCTGGGTGCGGTGGTGATCTGTGGGGGAATGAGGCTGCCGTAGGGCTGTGAAAAAGGGCAGGACAAAGATTGCTAAGAGCCTGGGCTGGGTGGTCAGTTTGCTGACGTAAGCAGTCTCTTAACTTCTAGAAGCCTTGGTTTTTTTCATCCCTACAATGGGTATAAACCTCATAACATTTATTTCAATGATCTTGTGAGGAATACATGCACTGTGGGAGTTTTTTCCCCAAATGACCAATAGGAGTTTTGCCAAGAGATCTTCTCAGCTGTAAGAAGCCAAAATTTTACATCCAAAGGTCAAACTCTAGTTGGAAACTTCTCTGAGCCAGGCTCAGTACTGAATGCAGGACGAGGGTTGCCACAGCCTAATGTGTCTCAGCAAAATTCATATATGGCAACTTAATCCCCAATGTGATGGTATTTAGGAGGAGAGAACTTTGGGAGGTGATTAGGTCTTGAGGGTGGAACGCTCGCAAATGGTCTTATAAAAGAGACCCTGGGGAGTTTCCTTATCCTTTCTACCATATGGGAACATAGGAGAC